TATTTATATATATATATATATTTATATGCATATGACACCATTAATAAGGGGAAATCTAACCAAGAGCAGGACTTATACGGCCTTCAACAGAGCAGTGGGAAGGACATTGAGGTGTTCTGTGCTTCTCTCCCTTCGGCAAGGTCCTCGCTTTACCCCTCTCCTCCTCCCAGTGAGGAGTTAGGGAGCAGAGCTTGGCCATAATTCCCCAGGGTGAGATTTTTACATTCTCTGGTGAAGAGTGAATATTCAGGGAAGTGAGTTCAAAAAAAGCTCCAGATAGCTTAGAAGGACGGCCCCACGCCAGGAAGCTATTGGTTCCCAGTGTTTTTTTCTTTTGCAAGAAGCAGATTTCTACTCTGCGCCTGGCTTCACGTGGAGAGGGCTTGTGCGAGGAAGAGCGCGGGGGCAGGAGCTGACCCAGGAGCACCTCCCAGAGAGACACACCGCTGAAGTCACCCTGGAACTGGGACGTTGTCCTATGGGCATATCATTCTCCCACATCAAGAGCTTCGTACGTACTCTAAGCACATGGTATAATCTTATCTACATAAAATGATACTAATTTTGGGAAGCTTTGCGTAACCTCCACTCTTCAGTGTACCAGAGCCTTGGATTCTCTCTGTCCTCCTAGGCAGTGCATGAAAAGCTACCACTGGACAGATGCACAGGTGGGGAGGCTGGGTCAAGACAAGTGCACCTGTGCTCCTTCCATCTGCAACGTGGATGAGACAGTAATTCCTCATGAACCACCTGAGAAACCATCGTCTCTACTTCCCCTCTGTTCTGAGAACTTAACTTTCATACTGATTTTGGCCTTCACCACCACTCATTCATTATATTCAGCCCTGTAACCTGCTAAAATGTGTTTGTTTTTGCCCTATTTTCCACTTGTCTTTTTGAAATGGTGTTGACTTGCACTTTTGGAAAATGAGGTTTGTTTTCACTCCATCCACTTACTTGACTTCATAGACTGTAAGTCCAGGTTAGGGAGACTTGGGCCATGAGAAATTCCTTCCAAAACAATATATATAATCTCTCCTGTTTCTCACAGAACAGCCTTTTGAACCTGCTTGGGACCACATGCTCACTGCCGTCAGCACAAGCAAAGAGTTTTCAAGGACACCCACTTAATGTAACGAGGCCCTTGGCCCAGGATGAGAAAAAAAGGATGTTTCCCTTCATGTGCACAAATTCTTCACTTGGTACCTGCCTAATACCCAACCCGGCCATTGTCTTCCTACGAAAAGTTATCAGAATATAGCTCAACAGTTAGACTTCATAATATTTTAACTAAGGATACAACTGTCTCAGTGCCATCAGCGCCACCTGAATGTGTCCCTTCTCTACATTGCTAAGAAGTTTGGATCAGAAGAGAACTACAGAGCCTGTCCAGGGACCCTGTATGCTAGAAGTTTCGGCTTTTGAAATGGAGATGATAAAATGAGGGTTCTGAGAAGTGGCGATCAAAGTAGCGGCAACAAATAGCTGCTTAGAATGACTAGCTGGGCACAGCACCACATAAGGATTAAATTCCTGTTCGTCGTCAGGGAGTTTTAGAGATGTCGTCATCCAAATTCCTCCCTTCCAGGATGAGAAAACCAGGACTCAGGAAGGTTAGCTAATTTGCCTAAGGTCACAGACCCAGGGCTAGAACCCACTTCTCCCGACTCCCAGCTCAGTACACTTTCCTCCTACCCCACTTCATAAAGTTGTCATTTAGCCTGGGTAGAGGAGTGTACTTTAAGCGTAATATTAATCTGACCTAAATTTCTTTCTGTAACAGTCTTTGCAGAAAATTCCTGTGGTCCTGGAAGTCACCCCTTTGAAAACGCTCTAAGTACCACTTGTTCAGACCACAGAAAACATAGATCTGTCATCCTGTTAAACACATCAGACACTTCGGAAAGACGCCAAGAGAGCATGCCTGAGAGAGATACTCCCAATTAAAGTGATTCTGTCCTCACTTGCAATATTCGGGATAGTTATATAGAAAATAGGTCTACCAGATTAAGCAAAAGTAGTTATCTCCTAGGATGATTTAGCAAGACGTTTCTCAAGGATATGGCAGGTTTTGTATCCCTCAATTTCTTAGGATCAAGATGACAAAGAAGCTATCCCGATGTCTTTGTTGGATGGAAAAGAAAACTGTAGTATTTTACTCATCAAGGTATAGGTGACTTCCTTGGAGCTATTTAAGATAGTAAGTAAGAAGGAATAAGAAGACAGCAACACACACACAAGCCCTTAGAACTCCGCCCTCTGTCTCTGCACTTCCGCTGCTTTGGGGTCAGGTCCCGAAGGAACCGAGAGGAGGCCTCCTGTGACTTGAGCAGGATGCGAACCTTCAACAGGCCCCTGGGTAGGCTTCCTTTTGCTGAAGCAACCTCCTGTTTGCGCCATTAGCCACACTGCTTCCCATTCTGACCTGCAACAGGCTTTGGTTTTTATTTAATTTTATCTGGTCTTTTTTTTTTTTCAGATTCGTAGGTTTAGCTGAACTTGGGCCCTGCATGAAAAATGAAGTTTACATAGTTTATGTGATGTACATAAACTACTGATTTACATTGATTTAGACATGATTGGTGCCTAATTTATTAATCAGCACACAGTATGTAAATGTGCTGAAAGGAAATCAAGATTTTAAAATAAATTTTCCATAATATCCATAAACATTTAGGCTGGTGTAAATGTTAAACCCACACCTACTGTTGAC